AGGAAGGAAGGAAGGAAGGAAGGAAGGAAGGAAGGAAGGAAGGAAGGAAGGAAGGAAGGAAGGAAGGAAGGAAGGAAGGAAGGAAGAACCAGTTAAATACTTATATTTATGTAATAACAACTAATGAAAATAGAGGCCATGAATATAAAGAGAGTAAGGGAGTAAGGAGGGGAATATGGGAGAGTTTAGAGCAGGGAGAGGAAAGGGAGAAATGTTATACTTAATTTATAATCTCAAAAATGAAAGAAACTACTAAAATAAACAAAGCAAAAAGTAAGCTAAAATTTCTCAGTGCATTTTCTACAACATGAAGTTGTTTAAACAGTACTGGTCAGTGTCTCTGGTTGTGGAAAGCATAACTAACTCTGGAGATGCATCTTCTTCTCTACCAATAGTAAGTTCAAGTTCTTGGGATCTTCCTTTCTTTAACCTAAAGGAAGAACTATGTTTTAAAACCTGTAAATTCACTTACTAAAACGAGGTAGAATAATAATTTGTCAAAGTCCAGCCTTAATCTTAAAAGACAGTTCATGGTATTACAGAGGCAGGCTATTATTACCAAATAACAAAAATCCATTAGCTGATTTGGAAGATCAGAGAAGGTCATGAACACAAACATCCTGTTTTGATGTAATGGATGCACACATAAAAGACATGTTTACAAGTCATACAGCACGCCTTATGCATATCACAGGAAACAGAAGAACACCAGGCTTCTAGACAGTGACATAAAAACGACTCCAAAGGGACTACTTACTTGGTTTTACTCACAATTTTAGCTTGAGCTCTAAATAAGTGTACACTTTCCACCTGAAGTGTCTTCCATTGAACATCATCCTAGAACTTCTAACTTTTGAAAACTAAAATGCAGTTGAACTGCTTCCACTGAAAACAGCCGATTAAAAGTGTAGACACTTGTATTTTATTTAGGCATAACTTGTAAAATGTAAATGTTGGAATAAATAGTTGTGTATAATTTCTTAGACTGTTTGTATTGCTAGACTTTTACCAATACATAAATTGTTATAAAAAGTAGGCTTCTGTTACACCAATTCTTCAAAACTCAAAAAGTAATTTAAATAGAAAGCTATGAGAACAGTCTGTTTTAATTTTGGGTTTCTATGAAATGAAATTCACCCAGCTTGAAATGTGGTTTTCTTTTAAAAACTCAAGATCTTTTGTCCTGAAATTTTAAACAAGTAAGTCTGATTTCATCTTACCAGAAATCAAAATGAGCAGTTGAATTTTCTTGTGCCTCTACTTCTTATATTTACAGTTATCTTCTATATTTATTATAGATTTCAGACATATTAGCTATATTTATTTTGTGTTAAAATGATAAGTAAATGTTTGGGGTATCATTTTATATTTTCATGTGAAGGAATGCAGTAATTTACATACAAGTTATACAATAAAAACAATGTGTATGGGAAAATTCATTTTAATTACACAATGAAGGAAATATTCCTACAAATAAAACAAATAAGAAATATCAAACTGTTATGCTATTACTCTTGCTGGAAAACAAAATGGTACAGAATTATGTCTACCATTTAAAGAAAGGCAAATTCAAAATAGTTAAAAAGTGATTTTATGCATGAATTATTACATAAAAAATAATTTTATAAAAATTAAACTTCTTAGAAATGTGTTCAGAAAACCAGTCATCATAGTTAATAGAGAATCAAAAATTCTTTCAAATGTTTGTTTATGTATTTATTTTTATATGTCTGGGTATTCTCTCTGTATGTCTGTATATTTAATGCTTGGTGCCCATGAAGAACAGAAGAGGATTTTGGCCCACCTAGAATCGGAGTTAAACATAGTCCTGAGCCACCATGTAGGTGCCCAGAAATTAACCCAGGTCCTCTACAAGAGCAACAAGTGTTTTAACTACTGCAATGTCTCTTCAGCTCTGAGAATCAAAATTGTTTGCTAAGCAGCTTCCTTCGGTTTTAAGGAGCTAAGAGAAGAGAGATCCCTGGCCCTAAAGCAAATGGACAGTGTCTGAGGTTGGCAAACATTTTTGACTGTTTATTTAAACTCAATTGTTACTGGATTCTTAGCATTTATAAAGTCAAAGAAAATATAATCCAAAAATTAATTATACCTACTTATAAATTATTTACTCAGACAAGTGAAACATTTTTATAAAATCTCAAGTTGTCAAGTAAAATATAGGAAAGTGAAGAAAATTTTTATTTCTCACAAGAACTAACATAAATGCAATTAACTCTATCATTATGCTTATAGCAATATTCAATTGTTACTTTGAAAATTACTACACCAATGAGTAGTTATCTGAAAATAAAATTTGTAATTTTAAAATCATTAAAATACAAATTTTTCAGCTTCATCATTCATTTTTATCTAGCCTGCTTTTTGTTTAACTATAAAACATATCAGAAATGTAAGAAAAAATGACATTCAAGAACTTTGGTTTTAAATTATATTTTAGAAGAGATCTCAAAGACATTTTATCACATTTAAATGATATGTACTATTATCATTTCATTATTATCATTAGAGATGAAAATTTAGAGAGTCTATGACTTGCTCATAAATTTCAACTATAAAATTTGAATTCAGATAGGGTTTGTGTATCTTGTTTATTACAGCTCATTCAGATAATTCCTTTTTTTCCTTTGTAAAATCCTGTCGACATGAAGATGACGGAAGAAAAGGAAACTGACAATGGAGCGTTGGAGCTGGGCTACTGAATGGCAGCTTTTTGCTTTTCTTTAACATGCAAAACAATTCACTGCAGATATGTTTTCTTAATAAATATTAACTGGGAAGCTTCACAAGTATTTGCTTTTATTTTAATATTATTAATAAAATCTAAGCTAAAGAAATGATAAATGCACAATAAATTAAAGTATGGGTTTATGTATATATAGATAGATGATAGATGATAGATAGATAGATAGATAGATAGATAGATAGATAGATAGATAGATGATAGATAGATAGATAAGAAATATAGATATAGTTCACAGTAAAATCCAGAACTATGCTCAGTTATGATTAACTGCTGCATCATCTAGCCAGTGACATTTTCCAAGGAAAATGTCGAAATGAAACCTACCTAAATTATCACAATAAATAGGAGGTGTTGATATTAATAAATCAATAATTGTTTAGTCTAACATATTGAATTACCTAGAAACAGTGATATTCCCTATTGTATATATTTACAAATAGTTACAATTAGTTTTATTATTGATTTAGTGATAGAGAGATGATAGCTGCGTTAGACAGATCAGATTAAGAGAAGTATAGATGGAAAATAGGTAGATGCATGATAATTAGTTCGGTGATAGACAGATAGATGATAGACTGATAAATGGAAAGATAGATATATGATAGATTAAGGATAGATAGATGAGAGAGACGAGACAGAGACAGAGACAGAGATTTTTTCCATGAGATATTGTTTAAGGTCCTGAAGATTTTAAAGGGGTAGTGTGAATTAGGTTTTTCTCCTAAAGGAGAGAAAAGTATAATTGGAAATAAGACACCAAGAAATACAAATGAAATAATGTGTTAAGAAGCATAAGAGAGGTGATAGGGTAGGTTCATAAATAAAAAATAGTCATGCTTAATATTTGAGCATGTTTTAATATAAGTAAATCACCTTCCATCTGTCATGATATGGGGAGGAATATTTTAAATGATGTAACGTATAGCTAATTAAGCATAAACTAATATGCAAGTCACATTCTTATTCATTAATATAGGTATTGAAACAACATTCATATCTTACAGAAACAAATTTATGCCAAGTGACCAGATACATTATACCCTACAATGAGGGAGCCTCTCTGGGCAATTTAATGTGTACTCTAACTGCCTGTCCTAAAATGATTGGTAGGATTATTCAAAGAAGAACAAAAGACAATGATCACTGCAGTCAAAAAGAAAGGTATAATAACCCTGGGAACCCAAGAATAATTTAATGTGGTTGGAGGAATGTGCAAACTGGAGAGAAAGTGGGACGCTGCGGCTATGCCAGCGATCTGTGCTGCAGGCTCTTAGGTTCATTTAGAGGCAATTTCGAGTCTGTGTGAGAATCAGTGAATGTGGCCAAATGCTCATCTACTATCAGGACAATCACAGCCCCAGCTACTCTCAATACACATTAGTTTACTTAATTTTTTAAAAGTCGTGTTAAGGTCACAGATTGCAGAGGTTGAATATCTGAAGAGTTTGAGTGACTCAGAGGTTATAACAACCAACTAGGTTTATTTTCAAAATTAAATAACCACACCCCTTGAGATTTAATGAAAAGAAATTGTGTTTTTAATTATTAAGGACAAAGCTCAGGTAAATCAAATGAGGAAACATCTAGAGATAATGACAATACAATACCAATAGTGTCTAGATTCAATTTGTTTTATTTTAATATTAAGATAGACTTACGAGAATCATTACATATGGATGGTTAGACATTCTCACTAGAAAACCCAATATCCTTTCATAAATATAGGATTTATTTTAAAATAACCAAGTATCAGTTATTGGCAAATTATTGAAAATGTTAATTAATGCCTTGATGAGATTGTCCATTGGTTAGTCATTTATATTTGCTTTCAAAGCCATTTTCACATCATCGAAAGAATCACAGTATCGAGTGGACTTGTAAGTAACCAACTCAAATTAACATAACAGAATTTGGCATAGCCATGTAACCAGAAATAGCCAACCTTGATGTTCTTAGGAAATAAGCTGTATGAATGTCTATAGATTTCAAAATTTATGCATTGTTTTGTCAGATATAATAGGGCTATCAAAATATTCATTTGTAAAAGATGACTAAAAGTTGTCACATACTATAATCAAGGAGAATCTTTAACATGTATTCAAATTTCTGGTTTAAGAATGGGTCAACAATTGTAACGTAAATCACTCAAGCCAAGGGAAGATATTTGTCAACTAGAATTTTACAAAAATAGTTTCTGGTATATGTATTCAAAGAATATTATCAGAATGAATTTTACATAGTTTACTGTTTGATATTATATTTTTAAATACCATTTTTTCTAATCTTTGAATTTTAACAATAAACTTCATAAACTTTACCAGTACTAACGAGAATAAAACATCACTCATACATTTACTAAAGACCTAAAAAATATATATTTCTATTAAAAACAAAAAAAACAAGATTATTATATACAGAAAAATAAATAAAGTACGGGAAGTTAGAAAAAATGTTGCTCATTTCATTTCCAAAATTATAAACATACATACAGAGGTGATGTGTGCTATCTTTGTGATTTTCATGATTTTTTTAATATTTATAGAAACAAAGTATATAACTAGAAATATAGAAGCTAAATGATCACAAATTTTTCAACTAGAATAAAAAAGTATCTCTACAAGTGACTAAATATATTAAGGTACAAAGAAAAATTAAATTAACACTTTTGCTGTCGTACATATTTCATAAAGACTTTGAATAGAGTAAGTAAAAGACTCATTAAAAAAAATATGCAACGGCAAACCCATAATATTTGTATATATTTACTAATTCAAAAAATTAGCAATGGTATTTCTAATGCAAGCTAAGATGTGCTAATAAAAATATTAGAGTAATTCTACTGAAGTCAAATGTATTTACTATGCAGCTTTGAAATACTATCTGGGATTGTTTTTGACAAAATATTCTTAGTTTTCTAATACAGTTTCTGATTTTTCTTCCCTCAGTAACTGTATTCCTCCATTAATCTAACAGCAATGAATTTCAAGCAAAAAAAATTCTCCTTATTTAGTTCTAAATAAGATATATCTATGTGTCCTGCACACTGACAAGTAAACATTTTGTCAATAAATTTAAAGACATGAGGATGATCATGAGTTTTTATGAAATATATGAATATATTTCACAAAATATATATTTTAGTTATAGAATGAATGATATGAGACAACAGCCACAGCTCAAAGCATTTCTCATGGTTAGAAATAGAAGAAAAATTGTCACTTGTGTTTTATCATAAGAAAAATAAGTGTTTTAAATCGCAAAAATGTGACATTTACCTTTTCCAATTGAGCGTTTTTTTTGGATTTGTATAAAAACTCTCCCACTGCCACAAACACTGAGAGCACCAAGCCGGCTGCCAGGACAATGAAGATCCCACCGATATTCTGAACCCCGAGGGCACTGGCCTCCTTGCTCTCCTCCTCCGGGCAGCCATTGCCCCTCCACCACTTCTCCTTCATCATGTGCAGCTTGCCCTCCTCCTGCAGCTGAAGAATCGCTATGGTGATTTTGTCTCGATATGGAGAACCTGGGGAAGAAGAATGTATGTTAACTACTTCAAGGAAAACAGAGTTTTACAGTTAAGATCACAAGTGGAGAACAGAGATTTTACAAACGCTTCCAAGCATCCACATTCACTTTCAGTAGTGAAAACAACACAGAAAACACAATAATCAAAAACTTAATAGTATAGCCAATGCAACTCAGCTTTCTAGACTTCTTGTTAGTGTATATTCTTTGTACAGAATGATGGAAATTTAGATTATAAAGTCTGATAAGATATCTTTTTTGTATGACAGAAACCGACTCCATCTGAAAGACAGACCTAGAGTATTGGATAATCAATAAAATAATAAAGAGGAAGTGACTGATGGAAATGATTCAAATAGAAAAGTGTTTAGTTCCTATCAGGAAACAATTCTACACTAAGGCTGGAAAAACTAGGAAAGCTGTGGAGAATTATATCTCTGTATATAAAGCAGTAAGCTAAGGCTGCTATGATTAGCAGGCAAGTGTCAATGGTATTTCCTGCTGTGTGGACATAGGATATTTGTTTTTTTGTTTTGTTTTGTTTTGTTTTGTTTTGTTTTGTTTTGTTTTGTTTTGTTTTGCTGTTTGTTGTCAATAAAATGTCACTGCTTGCTTAGACTTGG